CTGAAGGCAGCAGTAATAACAGGTGAGAGAAACTGGCTGCACAGGCAAAGGAAAGAGGCATCCACCTTGGGAAATGCGCTCAATATTTTCAAGGTTAAATCCAACCTGTCTTCATGTGTTTCCTGTAGTTGACTTTGTGCTCACAGCACTCAGTTATTTTATATGGCAAGATCGAAGAGGTAAGTCTTTCCTAGAATACTTAGCGGTAGTTCAAACATCCTTCGTGCTCTCTTCTTCCTATTATGCTTCAAATACTTCCTTAAAACTCCTGTTCTAGTTTCCAAGGCTATGGGTAATTTAGAATCAGCTTAAACGTCTCCTCTGTTATTCTGAGACCTAGAATCCCTGATCTAAGTGGTTGGTATTAGAAGGTACAAACAGAAACATGAAATAAATTCATTCAACTAAAAATTGGCCTAAAAAAGCTAACACAAGTAGTAAAGGCCATACTTATGCCTTAGGCACATATCTTGAGGCAATAGTGAATCTTTGCTTGCACAGATCCTAGATGTGGACAGATCCGAACCGAGAGATGCCAATCAGTGTAGCGTGAAAATGGATGGTGTGAGGACCAGCTGCACCCCTGTGTATGGTGCCAAAAAGCTGGAAGTCAGTTATCAAAGATCTGCAACACTAACAGAAGCATCATGCTTTCTTTATTCTAGAATTGATTTTAAGGCTAGGCCATGTATCTACTGAACCACTACTATCAAGTAAACCAGAAATTTGAGTTCCAGTTTTTATGTATCCATGACCTTTATGCATGAAGGTCAATGTGTGGCTTAATTATGGAAAATAATAGTTGGATAATTTTTGTCATCACACCACAACCACTGCAGTTGCCAAGGACTCAAAAGAACAAGCTCACCTGAGAGTGAACCAACCCTTCATCATGTTCTCCTAGAAATTCACTTTAATCCCTGGGAGTCCTAACAACTACTCTTTATTCCATTAGCAACTTCTTACTGAGGTGAGGAATCAATTGGGACTTCTTCCTACTGGGGGTGGTTAGCTGTCATGTTGACACAGACCACAAATATTTAGAGGCAAGAAGTCAAGAAAGCAGTCTTCTACATGGCAAAACATAAGCCCTAAAAAATCAAGGACTACAAAAGCACATCCAAACAAAATAAAAACAGAGAGAATGAAATGAGAGTCATGTCTGCAGATGGCTTGTCAATTAGTCAAAGCATACACACGAGAACAGAAACAAAAATTTTGGTATAATCAAATGGGTTCTTTTAACTGATGATTATTTAAATAAAGGGGGGCGGGAAACCACTCGATTTGGTCAATTTAGAATCCAGTTAGAGCACACACTGAAATCAAGTGAAGGCCTTGATTTCATGAGTCAAATGTTCCATAACAAAGAGCCTTGACCATGCTTTGTCCTTTCCAACTTAGTGCCTGGTGCCACATGTAGCCAAAGACAGGCACTGGAATCTTCTCCAAGCAAGTTCAAGCCATTGAAACACATGTGCCTTCAGCCTCCACAGAAGAAGATTATATACAAGTAGTGAGATTACCCACCAGTAATCAAGGGGACTGACAGGTGTTAACACTAGAGCTGTCATCACTAGAACTGAACTCCAAAATTTTGAGTTTGGCACCAACTTTCAGTATACTCAGCACCTATTTTGTAACTAGTACGTTTGTCCATGCACCCCCAAATTTTGTTATTTAATGTCCTTACTGTAATGACACAATGTTTGATTTGTGGGTTACCCCATGCATACCAATCTTACCATTAAGGTTAGGGCAGTTAGTTCCTAATCATTATCTTCTGTAAACAGCATTTCCCAGTGTTTCTCTCTCTCTCTCTCTCTCTCTCTCTCTCTCTCTCTCTCTCTCTCTCCCTCTGTCTTCCCCTCCTTCCCCCTAGTGTTCTCTCTCTCTCTCTCCCTCTCTCTCTATCTCCCCCCCACTCTCTCTCTGTGTGTTTATAAAAAGAAATTCTTGTGGTTAAATAAGATTGGGAAATACCTGGTCTAACTAAATGGGTTTTCTTGTTGTAGGACTTCTTAGAACATTTAATGTGCCAATAAGCACTGTGAATTTCTAAGAAAGGCATACAATTTGCAGCATTTTACAACCTTATTTGACAACAGAGTCCTTTTCTGAAGAGCTTCTGGGGGTTGGGGGATGAGGACAGTTATCCTTAGAATATACTTTGGAAAATATTGCTTTAAATGTTTTTCCTGAGTGACTTTCACATACATTACCAGATAGAAGCTGCCTGGGGGGAATGTGCAATCCTTTAGAAGCCCCCTATCTCTTCTTATAGACCTAAGGATAGTGTCTGGGACATTGAGAGAAGAGGGCTTCTCAGAACCTCTACCTGGCCATGTGAGAATCTGTTTATGTCAGTTCATTCAATCAAACTTTTATAGAGAGCATCCACAGTTTATCAGGAATGGAGTATTATTAATAATAATAATGATAAGAATAAGGTTAGGACTGCTTTTACTCTGCCTAGTGTAGACAGAAGGTTTCAAAGATAAAGTGACACTTGAACCAGGCCCTAATAAATGACCTCCAAGGGTCAGGATGGGCAGAAGGAGACATTTTAAAGAGAAAGAACTACATATATGGAGGTGCAAATGCCTCAAAGGGCATTTTTCTGCTCTATTGAGCATCACTTCCTTACATTTTTGTACATACACAGCATATCAAGTGCTGGTATTTTGTAACGTGTTCCCCCCCAAAATGGGAACTGATACTTGAAGGAGTTGGAGAGAGCTTGCCACTCGCCTGCTGCAGGATGAAAATCCACTCTTGGGGTGGCGTGACTAGGGAGGGCATGGCCGCTCCATGTCCCTTCACCCATTCCTCACCTGATGCATCTCTTTATCTGTATCCTTTGTAATATCCTTAATAATAAACCGATAAATGTAAAAAAAAAAATCCACTCATCACTGGACTGGAGCTTGCTTACCCAGGAGATGGAGGTATGCCTTTATGTATTATTAGGAGCAATCACAGAATGCCAAGGTATGGTATATCTCCACGAAATGTTGGAAATTTATGATAAGAGTGATGGAAGTAAAGTAAGGGCAAGAGAGCTAACATTTATTAATATATATGTAAATTGCCATAAATCTCATTTAATGATGGACTGTATATATACAAACACATATATATGCATGTTTTAATTTACACAGTGCTTTCATATCCATTATTTCATTTGATCCTCACAAGAATCCTGTGAGCGTGGGCAGGGTAGGTGTGATCAATTCCTTCATACAGAGGAGGAGTGTGAAGTTTCAGATAGTTAAGTGGTTAGTCCAAAGTTACATAGTAAGTGGCAATTTCAATACTACAAACCAAACCTTTTGAATCCTGGTTTTATGTCCTTGGTTTGTATTTTTCCTATATTACTTCAAGAGGCTGAAAGTATAGGGAAGCAGACTTATGCCTAATGTGAGGAAAATCTTTTTAAAAATTATAGCAGCTGAACGGTGGAATTAGCTGTGGTATGAAATGATTGTAGAGGATATCCCTGCCTTAGGTAAGAGATTAAATGTCATGGCTTCTGAAGTCACTCTCAACTCTGAGAGCCAATGAATCTAAAATTCCCAGGTCCTATTTCTCTGAGATGAGGTTTTGGCAAGTAATCCTGTTCATAAGCAGCTCCTGTTTATTACATACTTGATGCTCAGAAGAGAGATACCCTTAGATACTTGGGAGTTGGAACTTTCCCCCCACACAACAGAAAAACCCATTGCTTTGGTAAAACAAATGCAAATCAGCTATAACCAAGGCCTCCAGATATCTCTCAGATCACAAAATGATGGGAAACATACTTGGGAGTTGGAACTTTCCCCCACATAACAGGTAAACCCATTGCTTTGGTAAAATAAATGCAAATCAGCTATAACCAATGCCTCCACATATCTCTCAGATCACAAAATGATGGGAAACAGATAGAAGCCACAAATTTATCAAAATTGCTAAGTATATAGTATATAAGTGAGTTTTCCCTTGAAACTTAAAATCTTGGATCACACATTAAATATCAAAAATTATGGGAGGAGGCACTGTTCTGCATCTGAGCACTAATCAGTTATTTTGATGTATAGTGAATCTGCTCTTTTAGAACCTATATCATTGTTCAAATACCGAAGGTATTTTAAGAGGTAGAATATATGGACTGATCATAATCCACACTTGTCTTCTCTGCTGGGGGACGAGGATTCCCTTTAGAGCCAACAGAACCAGCCACTGTTCCAATTCCCGTGGAACATTTTTTTGTCATATATTTACAGCTCCCTATGCTCAAGATAATGGTGCATCTGTCTGATGGAGACGCCTGGCTGCATTCTTTCCCAGATATTAATATAGGTGGCACTTTAGTAGCATAACCAATGACATGAAGAACCTGATTTGGAGGGGAACAGATGGCAGTATCTTTCTTAGGCTAATTTTAGGATCTTGAAATAGTCCCTTTCTCACACAAACCATCAGTGGAACCAAATGAAGACAGCTATGTCACATGGAAAAGGGAGAGAGAAAAAATATGGTTTGGTGTGAGGCAAAGAAGCTTTGGTCCTTCTATCATATCTGATTCCTTTTATAGCATGAGGGTCACTCCAACCTCCTTTAGTCAGAATGGATGCTGAATACCAATGTGAGGGTATCTGAAAGGAAATGAGTGGGCAAATCTCATTTTCAGTCTCATGTATGGAACAATCAAGGTTGTATCATGTAATAGCTAAATTCATATTCATAACATGTCTTTTTTTAGCAGATAAGGAAGCTAAGTGACCATTCTACTTGGTAAATCAGAAGCAGATTGAATCTCAAAGCCTCAGATTCCTAGTCCTTTGCTTTGCCTGCTGAAAACACCTTTCCTCTAAATGAGACTGGTAATATCAGGTAGGGAGGATGAGATGTGGAGGAGGAGTTCATCAGCTACAAATGACATCTTAGGTATAAGATAATCATCCAAGGATTCAGAAAAAAAAAAAATGAGAGCAAGAGTACTTTGACAAGGTACCTACCTGTTTTCCATCCAGAGTGTAGAGTTTTTTGACAACCCCAGTCTCCAGTTTGATGGCTTCAGTGATATCAGTAAGGACTTGCTCAAAAGAGTGGGCTGTCTTCTTGTTCAGAAGCACACGCACAGCCTTGCGTGGCTTCACCCCGCTGCGGATGATGGTCACCAGCTTCGGGCGGACAAAGTCCTTGTTCTCCCTGGCCTGGGCACTGTTGCTGCTAGCCAGGGACTGGGGGGCTTTCATATTGGCAGATGTCTTTACGTTGACAGACCAGTTGGGATTAACATTCTTGGTGTACTCCACCTTTTTAAAGAAGTTGTCTGAGGAACAGACATAGCTTTCCCCTAAGGGAAGAAATAAGTGGTTAGATGATTAGTTTAATAGCAGATTGTGGACTACTCTAACCAAACTAATACACACTGACATTAGAGTAGAACTTTTGGAGAAGTGGTGATAGTAACCAACCTTGGGTACAATTCCTAATTGGTCTCTCTAACAAGTTAGCTCATTCAAATTCAAGAGTAAGTAATTCTCAAAACATCCTTCAATATAACAACATACCTAGTTGAAGAACCCTGTAAAGCTAAGGGTTCAAAGGACAATGAACATGTTTAAGCTTAATCTAACAAGTGGGATTCTCAAACTTAATATGGCTTTACTGGAATTTAAACATTTATGCTAGTTTCTAGGATGTTTAACTTCTAGCGGCATTAAGAGCATTTCTAGCATGTCTCTATTTTTTTTAACGTTCCTCTCCTGTTTTGGGACTCATAGCCCCTTGCCTTTGATATTTTATGAACCAAGGAGAACTTTCAAAGTTAATACATTTTTATTCCAGGTTAAATGAACCAGGTAACTTTGCATATTGAGCATATAGCACATACTTGACAAGAAGCTTGATTGTCATTTGCACAGAGTTTATGGCTAAGCAGTGGAATATTGAAATGTGAAATGTGTGTGTATGTGCTGAATGTGTATATGTGTGTATAAGTGTATCCTCTACTGCTCACCCCCACATCCAGGTGGAGAAACTGTCTAAATAACAACCTGTACACACACACAACAAGACATACACACACATTTTTTGTGTTTGCAAGTCTAGCTCTTGCTTAGAAAAATACCCTCCCCTGTTTCTATCACTCATCCCTCATCTTTCCAACCTTCCAAATGCTGCACACTAGATCTGTGTATTCGGAGCAATCTTCATTGCTCACCCTTGGCTGCCACAAGTAAGGAGGTGGAAATGTGAGGATACATTGTATAGTATGATTTACAGATCAGAGGGTTCTAGTGTAATTTTCACATTTACCTTGAGTTAGAGGAAATGATTAATAAAGCAGAAGAAATTCAGGGATCAGAGGCAAGAGGAGGGGGATTAGACAACCGGGACTAGAAGCTAGAAAAAATAGGAACAGAAATAGGCTCAGCCTGGGGGAGAGAATATTGGAAAAGTTTGCATTTGTTGAGTAAAACACATTAGCCTCAAGGTATACACAAGTTCATCCAGAGGTTGAGCTGCAGAAACAGTGTGATTTAATCAAGCTTGTCAGCAGTAATAACCCTAAATAAATAAATAAATCCAAGCCAGTGCAAAGAAAGCATTCAACACAATTATGGTCTGATGGTCCTTCTTCCTTCTTTAGTCTCAGCAGGAGAACCACACAGAGACATTCAGAAACACCAGGCTGCTAATTCACTCCCTTTGCAAATATCGACTGCTTTGCTGTAGCACCAAATCCTTTGTCATGTTAATTAATAAATTTCTCAGTGAGTGCTAAGAGAAGATTCAGTTAGAATCTCTGGGGCACCTTTGAGGATGCACGCGCGCGCGCGCGTGCACGCGTGTGTGCATGCATGTGTGCATGCGTGTGTGTGTGTGTGCACGCATGTGTGTGGAAGGGGAGAGAAGTGGCGCCCGACATAAGCAAAGTGGCTTCCAAAGCTTCCCTCAGTCCCAGAAGCCGCCAGTGTTCTGCTCTGACAGGGAGACCAAGGCACGGTTTGTGGTAGAGCACAGGCACTCTCCCCTGTTTGGTGCACACGTGCACAACAGGATGGGTTGGTCAAAGACCCCAACCAAGAGAAACCCTAATTTCTCTGGTTTTGTTACTGGCTTATTCAACCCAACCCAAGTGATTAGAGGCTGCAGTCTTTAATTTGTGACTTAAAAGGATAAAGGGGTCCTTTCAATTCCTTCATATATTCACAGCCTATGTCCCCCACATCCGAGAAATGGCCTCTTGCCTTAGCACTTTACCAGACTCACGGGCACTTTCCAAGAGGTCACTGCCTTTGAGTCAGATGTTTTCCATAACTCGTCATGTACTTTAAACTCTGTCAGACAACTGGTGGTGTGAAAATGTGTGAGGCTATATATTTATGATTTCACTCATCCACAGTCTCTTCTGGAGAGTCAGCTGTGTAGCCCTATTAGGACCCTGGACTCTTTTTGCTGCCATCTCTTAAACCTCTTAAGCGTCTGAACTATGAGTGTGATTAACCACCCCCAGATGAAAATGAACACGATGGCAGACAGCTACAGTATCATATGGCACCCAAGAACTTTCCAGAGGGCCCAGTCCTCAGCCAAATCTATGTTGAGCACCTTCCAACGGTACATTTTAGTCACTCCACTCGCTCCTTTTGGCCTGGATACAGAGTAATGGGAAAAAAGCAGCTGATGTGACATGAGTCAGAATGGGGTCCTCAACACTTTCTAGTTGTATGCTCTTGGACAAGTTACCTAACCTTCCTTGGCTTCAGTTTCTTGTCTGCAAAGCAGGGGTGACAATAACAGTACCTACCTTGTAAGGTTGTTGTAGGGCACAAATCAGATGATGGACATAAAGCACTTAGCCCAGAGCCTGGAACATACTATGCACTTGATAACTTCCTATTATTATTATTAAGCCCCTAATCTGAAGTAATGAAGAAGAGAACAAGAAGGAAAGAAGAAACGGGGGAAAAGTAGAAAAAGCTGAGGAAAAGGAAGTGAAAAGAGAAAGAAGCAAGGGCACCATCCAGGAACTGAGCTGTGATTTTTCTATAACCTGGAGCACTGTGGGGGTCCCGTGCCTCAAAGGTAAGATTTCCTGCTGGTTGAGAGGAAGCTTCCAGTTGCTGCAAATGCCAAATGTAGTAGCTCTATGGTTAGCATTCAGCAAAGCCACTGCTGATGCCCACTGAGGGAAGAATATTTATGGCGGTTAAGAGTAGTGACTCAGGAGCCAGACAGAGCTGGATTCAAACCCCAACCAGGAACTTACAAGCTGTGTCACCTCTGGCAAGTCATTTCATCTCTCTGAGTCTCAGCTTTTCCATCGACAAATTAAAGGTATTGTCTGAGTCCCTTCTAGACCTAAAGGTCTATGAGATTTCTTCTCTCTTATCTCAAACAGGCTTTAGGAAACAAAGCTGTCACAGTAATTAAATGTTAAGGAAATAGGTGCCCACCACCAAGGACTCTCCACTTCTATTACTGGAAAGACACCAAATGTGCTGCTTTACTAGACTAAGGCTTCCTTGTTCTGATTTTGCAGACGTTTGCACTGTCTGCTGCCAGAGCTCGGTGCTTCCTGCATGTCCGGCTGCTTGGCACTTGGAGCTGGGTGAGGTGTGGCACATCTTTACACAGCTGGGCTCCCATCCTGACGCAGCTTTCAGGGGCCATTTCCCACCTGCTGGGAGCCTAGAAGGAAAACTAGTTTCAGGGCCAACCAAGGTGGCAATTTGCTAGAACTGACAACCTACTTCAGGGCCAGGGGTTAAGGAAATGAAGTCATGGAAACACAGCTGAAAGGGTAGAAATGGAACAGGCTGTGGAAGTGATATGATCCAATGTCTACCTTCCTTCACTTTCAAGAGGGCTCTATTTTCAAAACTATTATTTCCAACTATATATTTCAAAACTATATATTTCTAGTCTACGACCATATCACCCTGAATGCACTGATCTCATCTAAATATATTTCTACCTTCTACCTTCTCAGTGCAAAATCACTTCTGCCTGGGTTTTCTCCTCTTCTCCAGGGCTTCCTGACTCAGGAAGGAAAATATCAAATGATACTTGATTGTATTATTATATTAAAATGTTAAATGATACTGTATTATAGTATCATACCTATTAACAATGAATCCACCCCAGGTATCTTAAAATCTTTGTCTTTGGCAATGTGCTTGCTTTAGTAGTTAGAGGATAAATTAATGGGAAGGTGGTTTCATCTCATTGGAACAAATGAGCTATGGCAAAGAAAGTGGATCATAGCTAGTGTCATCATACATACAGCTTAGATTTTCCAACACTGGCCCAGTTGTTAAAATTCTGTTCATAGTCTGCATTATAATGTACAAACTTGTCTCAATTTGTGTTCAGAAAAGCTGGCTAGTCAAAAATGATAGCCCTAAGATTGATCTGAGCACTCACGTACAAGGAAGTGGGGAAAGGATTAGACAGGATATAAGTGTAAGAAGAAAGATTCTACAGTAAAAGACAAAGGAAAAACAAGACAAAAGGAAAAGCCACCAGTGGATTTCATTCATTGACTTTCTGAGGATACAGCTAGTGAGGGCCACATCTTATATGGCTTCGCTAGACTCTTGGTGTACCCAAGGAGCTGTGCGAAAGCTGACATCAATAACCTGACTTTGGTCCAAAATGCTCCTCTTGATACTTTCAGTATCCAGCAGCACACGGTAGACTAGAGGCACTGGACAAAGGAATGCCATAAGCCCAGAGTGATTATTAACCAATTGCTTTTTATTTTATTTCATTTTAGGCTAAATATTTAATAATGTGGCCATTTAGAAACATAATGTGTTCAGTGCTTCATTATTCCTTTTAAGATCTACAGAGCAAAAATCAGAAACAAGGTTTTTTGCATTCCTAAGAACTCCTACCACTGTAGTTAGCTGAAGGGGACCATTAAGATCACCTAATCTAATACTTCCCAAGTCTAACTGTTCATAAGAATCACCTGAGATTTGTAAAAACACAAATTCTGGGTCCCAACCCTGCGGATTCTGATTCAGTAGGTCTGGGGTGTGGCCTAGGAATCTATAATTTTCTAAAGCTCTGAAAGATTTTGAAAGGCAGCGAGACTTGGGAACCACTGGCCATTACTACACCTCACTAGCATCATCATTATCATTATTATTATTATTTTCATATCATTAATAATAATAGCACTTTGCAGCTATAGTTTTACCTTGTAAATGTATTTCAATATCATTATCTAATTTTATCCTCAACCACCAGCAAATAAGGAAGGCAGGTATTACTAGTCTCACCTCACAGTTAAGAATATTACTCACAGGAGATACACAAAATGTGATCTATACATACAATAGAATATTATTTGTCAATAAAAATGAGTGAAGTACTGATGCTGATATGGTACAACATGGATAAACTTTGAAGACATTATTCTAAGTGAAAGAAGCACAAAGGACCACATAGTGTATGATTTAATTTACATGAAATATCCAGAACAGGTAAATCTATAGAGACATAAAATAGATTAATGGTTACCTAGGGCTGGAGAGGGTGGGGGGGATGGGCAGTGACAGCTAATTGGTACAGGGTTTCCTTTTGGGGAGATGAAAATGGTCTAAAATTAGATAATGGGGATGGTTGCACTGCTTGGTAAATTTTCTAAAAATAATTGTACACTTAAATGGGTGAATTTTATAGTATATAAATGATACCTTAAGTTGTTTTTTAAAGAGTTCTTTTAAAAAGAAAGAACAGGGCCGGCCCGGTGGCGCACTGGATAGTGCGCCGCTTGGGAAGCGTGGCGGCGCTCCCGCCCGAGGGTTCAGATCCCACATGTGGACCGGTTCCCGCTCACTGGCTGAGCGAGGTGCGGGGGCAACGCCGAGGGTTGCGGTCCCGTTGCCGGTCCCGGTCCGGTGCGGGGGTGACACTGAGGGTTGCGATCCGTTGCCGGACACGGAAAAAGACAAAATAAATAAATAAATAAAAATTTAAAAAAAATAAAATAAAAAGAAAGAACAGTCACATTGATGATAAGGACAAACCTATGATTATGTAGCTATAAACTAGGATGACTGAAACAGTAATGCTATCCTGTATTGAGTGCCACTTATACAGGCAATATAGTAAGCACTTCGTATCCATTGTCTTATTTAATCCTCAGAATAGTTATTCCCACTCTACAGATGAAAAACAGAGGCTCAGGGAATCTAAATAGTTACTCCAAGATCACACAGCTGGCAGATCTTGGATTTAAAACAAATCTGGCTCCAAAGACTCCTTTTACCATTATAATCTGTTGCCTCTGAGATTAGAATCCAATGCCCCTGATTCTTCACTCGGGGATCTTTCCAAACTTTTTCAATTTGAATCCTAATAGCAAGCAATATGTGTAAATTTTTTATCTTTCATTCAACCTTTTTCAAACGGGAGCAAAGTGAAGGGACTTCTGTCCTCCATTCCTAGATGGAGTGGTTCTAAAGTACCAAATAGGAGAGAAAAAGACCCACTTTCTTTATCCTCCTCAACTCAATGCTCCTCAAACCTGTCTGTCTCTGTGGTACTGGGAAAACTGATCACATTTCTCAACACTCTCCCAGAGATATCCCTGAATGTCCTTGACTGAATGGGCAGTGCTCAGGACTGAAAGGGTGTTGAGGTCCACTGTGACTCGTGGTTGTAGATCGCATATGAACAAATGCAACCGAGCCCTATTCACACTCTACATAGTCCAGAAATTTGCCAGGAAGTATTGCTGCACCCAGGAGTGGGAGATGAAAGAAGTCCAATCTAACAAGACTCAAAAGGACTCAAGGGAAAAGAAAGCTGCAGTCTTTTCAAAATTACATGTAGTACCTCCCTTTATGGAACAGGGATTGTTTATCACCACCGCTCTCCCAACACACAGACGCACACATACACACACATCCAGGGAGAAAAATCAACATGTAAAAAAAGGGATTTGGGGGGAAATATCTGCACATAACACCTCTCATATCAGAGACAAGAATATTCTAATCATTGCTCCAAATAAAATGTCACTTGGTTCAGAATTCTGTCCTAACATCTATTGTGGTCTTTAGATGATCATAGATAATGGAAATGAGGACATATTGGCTGATTCAGGGTGCTTTGTGAAAGCTATTACAGAGAAACCCCTCAAATTCGACTGAGATAGGGATTTTACAACCACAAAAGACACACACCCTATTGATTACTCTGTTGGACAGCTCCCTCAACCTGGTTTTCAAGCCCGTCAAGTTTGCCCTGACTTTCCTTTATTTTAAGATACGTGCTAGCATGGCCAATTATTTAATGGTCAGGAAAGGCCTAGGATTAGCCTCTACCTGTCCATTCAGCACATGATCAAATAATCTAAGCCTCGTCAACATTGCTTTTCAAGGTCAGCTGCATAGAAAAATCTTGGATTTGAACCCTGAGACTCAGATGCAGCAACCATATGGCCACTATCTCATATAAGTAACTGTCCCCAATCACTTGGCCTGACTACTTGGAAAACAGCAGCTACTTGAGAGAACTGGGGTCTTGTACAAGGAAAGCCCTCATGCTCCTTTGTCTAGGGACACAAGAAACCTAGAAACAGTGACGTGGAGGCAGGGTACTCCTGCACCAAGTCATTTGAGGTGCTGTTTCTCATTCCTTGGCTGTTTCATAATTTGGTTTCTCTAGAGATCTGCCTGCTCGAAACTCACCTATGCTCAGCAAATGGAGAGAGTGAGGTGGGAGAGCTGGATAATGGGGGAGGTATTTGAGGAGAAACATTTTTATTATCACCACTCCTTGAGGCTATCTTTTAAAGCACTGTATCAGGTTAAATTGATCACATATGTTATACCTACCAATTTAAAGTAGGGATAGGGAAGAATCTTTAATATAATTGATTGGATAATGTAGAATATTGAGAACATGACCCAAGATCTATTTTCTAAATGACCACAAAGAAGCTTCATGGGTGAGCAAGTTTTGGTAAGAGCTGGGATTTTCCCTATTTTTGAGTAGATACACAGGTTGTCAAGATTTTCAGCAGTCTAGTCAGAAAATTCAGTTGCAATACCAAAATCTAGAAAGGATTTAAAGGGATTTAGGCATAGTAAGTCAGTTCCTATTCTAATAGAAATGGTCTTTATTAAAATACCAGACATACCTACAGCTTGCTTTGGTATTTCTCCCAATGACCTCAGCCTTGGGGACACACCCTGAAGTGGGCTTTATGGAAGCAACAGCTGAGCAGCGACCACTTACCTAAAAGTATAATCCTCTGTGAATATGTCCAGAAAGTCCTGCTTTTAGGGTGCGTATTTCCAATGAGTTGCAATTTACAAATAATTTTTCAGCAGTCCAAAGGAAACTTGGGCATAATATTTGTTAGTCCGACCAAATGTTCTTCCTCATTACACCCCTCATAATTTAATGCTCTGCCTCAATAGTGCTACTCAGAGTTAATTTTGAACAAGATCCAGACGAAACACTATAATTAAGATTTTCCTTTGTATACCCTGGCAAATAAGCACAATGCATTATCACCACCATCCACATGTCAAACCCAGCAGAGAATGAAGGCCACAAAGGGTGGTGGCTAATGGCTCTATTGATGCATGTAGAACCAGAAATCTGAGCATCAATCAACCTGGTATTTTGACAAATACACTGCCTAATTTCTTTCAGTGAAATCTAAGAATGGAACCATAACACATGATGCCACCTCCCACCAAGGGCCGCCACCCCCTACTTGAATTACCTTCCTCCAATTCATCCATGCTTCCGATTTTCCTGGATCCATCAATGGTGTAAATGTAACGCACTCCCTGAGGCAGGTTAATGTTGTCAGACAGTGATCGAGTCAGGTCAGCCAGCAAGGCGTCAAAGCTGCGAAAACGGTCAGAAGACACAGCGTACACAATTCCCTTGAAGTAGCGGTCCCCATTGCGGTAGAAACGTACCTTCTTGGCTTTCTTTTCATTGCTCAGGGCCTGCAAGGTTCTGGTTCGATAGAAGCTACAGTGGGCGCTGTGAGTGGGGCTAGGCAGCCCATTCATTCGGGAGCCTCTCATGTTCCTGGACGTCTTATCTCTTTCGTCAAAGTGCCCAAAATCAAGTTCCATATTTTGGTGGAACCTCAGAGACCTGAGTGTTGGAGAAATGAGGTGGTGGGGGGGGGGGGGGGGGGGGGGGGGGGGTGAAGAGAGGCAAAGAAAAGGGAGAGAGGAGAAAAAACAGAAAGGAATTCAAATATTAGCCAGATCCAGATCTGCAATCTGCTGCTTGTGAAAAGAACTGGTTGAAAAAAGCCTGTGACCCATCTGCTGCTTGCCCCTGACCTGCAGGAATATTGATCTTAATAGAGAAGAAGGAGGGGCTGGGCGGGGGTGCTGGTGGTTGTGGGGGCTGGGAGTAAGAGATCGAGAAGGAGGCACTTTTGGCACTGTTCCAAACAGAGGAGGGGGGGGGATTTTGAAATAGCTTAAAATCCTCAGACTTACTGACAGTGGCTCCTATCAAATTGTAACTTCGGGCTAAATACATTAAAACTGGCATCTGTTTCCTCACATATGTCCACATGACTAACAGTTGTAAATGAGTCCATAGCCTGACAAAATTCCCCTTGAAGAGAACAGAAGGAGCTAGCCAAGGTTAGCATCTCCAGCTTAGGACACAGTCTTTGCGTCTCAGTACAATGGCTATGAAAAGGAGTGTTTTAATTTTATTCCAAACCTTCTTTCCTACTCTAATGTGTGCGTCCCCTCCCCCCAGAATAAACTAGGATTCTCCTTTAAAGGGACAGCCTCCAGGGAATAGCCTGTGTCTTTGTGCTATTCATCAAACCCCTTCCCCATCAAGCTGGTGCAGCTATTCGACATTCTTTAAAATAAGCTGAGAAAAAGGATTAGAAAAAGCAGTTATTTAACAAATTATTAGCTCTGCTTTCCCCCCTGGTACCATTTTGTCACAAAATCTTTTTTTTTCAGGTGCTCCATCCTCTCCCCATCAATGCAGCAACACCTCTTAATGGAATAATTTAATTGTAGAAAGATTCCCAGTCCCTGCACAGCATATGAGACCTCTAGAAGCAAGCACACCTTTCATTGTTCTGGGTTTCCATTCTGACTGAAGGTGCATTTTGCCCTCACAGCAGTCAATTCACCCCAAACTTGCCTACTGCCCAGGTGCATTAGCTAAGGCAAAAGAGGGTCATCTATCAGGCTTTGCTTTTTCCCCTTCTGCTGACCCCTCCCCCCCCAAAAAAACCAAAAAACAATGAAAACATGAAATCAAATACAACCAAAGCCCTAAATGCTAGCAAAGGTAGTGACATTTTAGGAACTAAACTATTAACATGCATCTCACAGAGGGGATAATAGGACTCACAAAGCAAACAGGGCTCAGCTGCTGCACACTGCCACACTGAGATATTTGCAAGGGACCAGGAGGACAGGAGATAAAGGGGAACTGGTGCCTAGTGGGTTTGCGAGGCTTGATCCCCCTTTTTTTCCAATGTCACCCTGACCTATGCTGAGCTCAGCATTGTCTCAGTGAGACAACCTGCAGTGCTAAGAGACCCCACCTCCTCAAGACAAGTAGCAAGCATTTCCCCAGGCGTGCCAGTAATACTTTGCTTTGCTTTAGGATCAGAGGTGGTATTATTCTAAATTAACATCACAGTGAAAACAAAGGAACATCAAACTCACTTTTCCAAAGGAAAATCCCAGGTAGAAGCTTAGGGGGAAAAAATCCGATAGAATAAGGCAAAAAAAAAAAAAAAAAAAAAAAGGAGGAAAGGAGAGAAAAGGGGAGAGACAGAGAGAGAGCGCGCGCGCTTTGCCTTGTGCTTTTCCCGTTTGACATCTGTTACATTCTGCTTGAAAATCACTCGAAAGCCCCACTCACCGGTTTTCTGCTGGTTGGGTGGAGATGCTGAGAGAAAGAAAACCAATCTCTCTATGTCTTTGTTGTCTGAGCTCCAAGCAAGAAATTCCTGCCAGGGTGGATAGATGCCTTCTAGGTCCTAGTGCCTTGTCCAGCTTCTCCCCTGTAACTCAGGCTTAGTGAATCCCCCCAACGTCCTATGATTAATTACATGCTTTTTTTCCCTTCAATTCACAGTCCGCATTAACAGCTAGAAAGGTTTCGTTTATAACCAACAGGAAATTGCAGGGTAGCAAAAAGATTTCACAGGCAAGTTCAGAATGCTCTAATGAGCAATGTGCTAGCCCTTTCTTTTAGAAAATTGGCAATTTCACTTGGCCAAAACCTTGGCCTAATCTGCCTGGGGGCCAGACTCAGACAGAACAACCAGGCTTCTACGAATTATAGCTCTCTTCCTTTTACCCTCTTGAGAGAAAATAAGCAAATCTGCAAATTTGTTAAGGTATTTTAGTACACATATCCAACAACTGGTTGTTTTTGAAATGAGATCAGTAGGGTACACTAAAAGCGGGTAGAAAAGGGACAAGAGAAAATAGATCTAGAATCATATGGAAGATAGCATTGAAAAGGGTCCCCCAAAACCTTTCAGCTTGGATAAGAATTTAGTTAATGAAGTCTGTGGCGTTTACCTTTGAGAGTTGGAGTTCAAACCCAACTAAGACACCTTTCTATGTGAAGTGAATCTGATGGCTCCAAGATAAATGTTAACACATCTCTCCTCAAACTGCCTATTTATCACTAATTGGTTTCTTTATATCAAGTTTGTTATAAAAGACAAAGAAGCCTCCAAACTGAATTCATCAGATCAGGCCAGACTATAGGACAAAAGAAGAGAAAGGTGAGAGATTAAATTGGGGGTGGATTACCATCTTCACAACTGGGGCTGTGTGCATTAATATGTAGCAGTCTTGTAGTATCATGGTTCCATTTTTGCTTGGCTTCCAAGAAGCTCAAAGCTAATAGCATGCACAGTAATTACTTTATATCTGATTCCTAGTACAATTAACCCTTCCTTTTATATAGAGCTGTTGATCTTTTATATTTAAGCATTTTCTGTGTATGTGTTCTACTGTAAGCTGCCTCAAAGTGGGATTAAAAAAATATGATCGTCTTTCTTCTCTGGAAGACGTTGACTCAGCAAAACTGAAGCTATCTATGTTAGTTGGATTAGGTGGACAGCCTCAAGTGTGCAACCTGCCCAGTTATGTCTTTCCAGCACTTTGCTTCTGCTCTCCTGGTTTCTGTATAAGTACCCCAGGTGAGCACGGGTGTCTGTCCTGTTGTCTTACATGCACTGTTGCCTTACGTTTTGGCTTCATCTTAAAAAATCAGGATTATGCAGGTCAGGGGCAGAGAAATATCAAGGAATAAGAGTATGGAAACATGGAAATTTCAGCAAGGCTAATGTCTTAAAATTTCTTTCTTGCACATCATAAGCATTCAGTAAACACGCAACAATTGATTTTGTTTCCAAAATCAAAATCATTTTGTTTCCAGTGAGGATATAGGAATGGATAGGATGATAAAACTTAAACATGGAAGATTCAGAATAGACTTTAGAGGAAATTTCCTCATGACGGAAGCCTTGCAATACTACTGTGGAAGCTGAAAAATGTCTTTAGAATAAAAAGCCAAGGATAACTGACTTTGTTTACTTTATGTATACCAGAGAGCAGAACGACGGACAAGGCCAATATCTCTCAGTGCGAGGTTTGTGGGCGTTAATAGGTGCTCTTTAAAAACAGAAAAAAAGATTCCATAATTTAAAAGATTTGAAAATGACGGGCTAAACGAAGTTAGATTTCTTTATTGTAAAACATAGATGTGCCTTTAAGGTAATTAAAATACAGCATGAGTCTCCAAGAAGACAATTTAGTATAAAGGGCTTCCACTGTTTTTTTAAGCTAAGAACTTTTTTTCCCCTAGAACATCTCACAGACTAATGTTCTGTGGGGAAAAAAAAAAACTTTTGCAAAAACTGGACTAGATAATCTCACAAAGATATTTCTTCTCAAAGAACTTAGCTATTCACCAAGACCTTTTACCTCACTTTCTCAGGGGAAAAGGACCACTGGTGGAAGAGGAGGTCTCAGGTACCAGTCCAGGAGAAAAGTGCATCTTTAAATACAGAAGTTAACCATGAAGATCAAGGGAGAGTCATGTGTCAGGGCTTAATAGAGTGGAGAGACTGAAGGAAAAGAATAGAAACCCCATTGTGGGAAATATAGCAGAAAAGACCTTTTGGGTAATCACGATGTGCCCGGCACCACAGGCAAGATGCAGAGTAGGACACAGTCATCACTGCTGAGGGGTTTGAAGACTCACAAAAGAAAAAGGCTTACATCTTTCTTGATATGCTGCAGTCTGGATTAACCAGACTCAAAGGGCACAGTCAGGAAACAAAGACCATCTATAACACATGCAAAACACACATGCACACACACACACACACACACAGTTAGTTTGTGTTACCTATCAGAAGCACAAAGAGTAGGATCTGGTTTGTGGCAAAGCAAGCAAACAGGAAGTGAGGTTGGAACTATATATAGACTATGTGTGGGAGGACACAAATCTATAAAACACTTAAATATGTGTAAGATCTTTATTGAAAAACATCATAAAATTATTTAAGAACATAACAGAAGCTGATAATAAGTATAAACCAGACCACGACCATGAATGGAAAGCTGGAATGCTGTAAGGGTATCAATACTCCCCAAAGTAGTCTATATATATGAAAAAATTCCAATAAAAACTCCAAAAGGAATTTTTGTGAAACCTGAAAAACTGATTCTAGAATTTTTATGAAAAAAAATAAAGCTCTAAAAATAGCCAAGACCATTGTGAAAAAGAATTAGATGCTGAGATTTGCCCTACCAAGATTTATTATAACACTACAGTAATTAAGATAGTGTGATGTTGGCCTGGAGGACAGACAAAGAACAATGAAACAAAATGGATATCAGCATAAATGAGACCTTGCTATTTAATAGTGTAGTGACTCTGGAACTAGAATGCCTGGGTTCAAATTCTGATCCTACTAATTATTAGCTGATGAACTTAGGTGAGTTACTTAACTTCTCTGTGCCTCAGTTCACCCATCTGGCAAATGGGGGTAATGACAGTAACAGCACCTATCTCAATTGTTATGAGGATTAAATGAGAAAATTCATGTATAGTGCTTAGAACTGATCTTGGCACATAGTGTGTACGATATAAGTATTAATTTTTATTACTCCCTGAATATTCATATGCCAACTTCCTCAGTTGTTTTAAGTCTTCACCCAAAGGTCAACTTCTCAAAAAGACCAACCCAGATGACCCTATTTAAAGTTACAATGTTAATTCTTCCAATCCAAGAGTATGGAATGTCTTTCCATCTTTTTGTGTCTTCTTTAATTTCTTTCGGTAGTGGTTTGTAGTTCTCATTGTAGAGATCATTCACCTCCTTGGTTAAATTGATCCCTAGGTATTTTATTTTCTTCGTGACTATTGTAAATGGGCTTATTTTCTTTATTTCTCTCTCTGTTAGTTCATTATTTGAGTATATAAATGCAACTGATTTAGGGCCATTTATTTTGTATCCTGCAGTGTTACTGAAGTTATTAACCAGCTCTAGGAGTTTTTTGATAGAGTCTTTATGTTTTTCTACATATAGCATAATATCATCTGCAGATAGAGACAGTTTGACTTCATCTTTTCCAACTTGGAAGAATTAACGTTGTGAAAATGTCTATACTACCCAAAGTGATCTATAGATTCAATGCAATCCCCATCAAAATACCAATGACATTCTTCACAGAAATGGGAAAAAACAACCTTAACTTTCATATGGAACAACAAAAGACCCCAAATAGCCAAAGCAATCCTGAGCAAAAAAAAAAAAAAAAAAAAAAAAAAGCCAGAGGCATAACACTACCTGACTTCAAATTATACTACAAAGCTATTGTAACCAAAACACCATGGTACTGGCATAAAAATAGACACTCAGAAGAGTGGAGCAGAATTGAGAACCCAGAAATCACCCCTCAGGCTTATAGCCACCTGATATTGGACAAAGGCACCAAAAACCTACATTGGGGAAAAGACTGCCTGTTCAACAAGTGGTGCTGGCAAAATTGGATATCCATATGCAGAAGAATGAAATTAGACATGCACCTCTCACCATATACTAAAATCAACTCAAAATGGATTAAATATTTAAGTATAAGACCTGAAACTGTAAACTTACCAAGAGATAGATGAAAATGCTTCAGGAACTAGGTCTGGGCATAGACTTTATGAACATGAGCCCAAAAGCACAAGCAGCAAAAGAAAAAATAAACAAATGGGACTACATCAAACTAAAAAGCTTCTGCACAGCAAGGGAAACAATCAACAGAGTGACATGAAAACCTACAGAGTGGGAGAAAATTTTGCTAACTATGCATCCAACAAGATATTAATATCCATAATATACAAGGAACTCAAGCAATTACACAGTAAAAAAACAAATAACCCAATGCTCCTGCACTGTTGGTGGGACTGTGAATTAGTACAACCACTACAGAAAACAGTATGGAGGTTTCTCAAGCAACTACAGATAGATCTTCCATATGATCCAGCAATCCCACTTCTGGGTATATACCCAGAGGACTGGAAATCATCATGTCGAAGGAATACTTGCACTACCATGTTCATTGCAGCTCTGTTTACAATAGCCAAGACATGGAACCAACCTAAATGTCTATCAATGGATGATTGGATAAGGAAACTGTGGAATATATACACCATGGAATACTACTCTGCCATAAAAAAGAATGAAATTCTCCCATTTGCAACAACATGGATGAGCCTGGAGAAACTTATGTTGAGTGAAATAAGCCAAGGACAGAGGGAAAAATACCACATGTACTGACTCATAAGTGGGAACTAAGAGAGAAAGAAGGAAGGAAAGAAAGTCCACAGTGGTGCGTTGGACATGCAGAGGGAGAGAACATACCTTGGGATACAAAGTGGAGTGCCGTGGGGGGGGGAAGGGGAGGAGGATGGAGGTTGGGGATAATTGGGTGGGGGACATGGGGTACAAACACAATTTGTGGTAATGTGCATGCTGCCAGTATGGAT